TTTGACTTAAAAAAATATGCAAGTGAATGCATTACTCTGAGAATGTAAATAATACTTCCCCCAAAGTGTTACTGTCACGTTTGCGAGCAGCGAGCAGGAAAAGGAGGCGAGAGCAGCTAGGCTGACGGACAAACGGGGTTTATTAAAGCTAAATAGACAAGACTGGTACTCACACATGGTATAGACGATGACAGATCTGGGGAAAACTACTCGAGACGTGGACTAAGTACAAGGGACTAGGTAAACGGAACAGGTGAGAACAATCAGGGTTCGACATGAGGTAATGAGGGGGCGTGGCACACACGAGGAGTGTTTGGAGCTGAACGTGACAGTTACCATAATTGCAAGGACTGACATTCAAACCCAAAAACAAGCATGCACTTAATTATTATTAATATTTCTACCCAAGGCTTTTACTATATATAACAGAAAATGCATGTAGAGAATTGAGTCCAAGCTTATATCTTAGGTGGGATATTTTGGGAGCTGTATCCAAAGGAGTGGAAGGAACCTTTGGAGTCTCTAGCTATTATCTTGAAATTCAGGGTGTGTTGTGATCTGTTCAGGACACCTTTGTGAGTAACAGGAACAGCCCAAAATGTAATTTACCCAAAAGTGTGATCACAGTCTAACTGTATAACTTGCACCAAATCATGCATTCTTTGTGGCTTTATGAAATGTCTGCCTAATTGTTATAAACAGACACACTATGTTTACCAGCAGTTCACCATTTCAAGTCATGTCTAATTGTTCATATGACTTTGCAGCCGCAGTTGAGATGACAGATGAGCAAAAGAAGACCGCATCCAGGGGTGAGGTTTCATATGTGATAAAGAGTGTGACTGTGCAATGTAAGGAGCTTCCTCTGATCAGATGTCCAGACTGATACTCTAGGATTTCCATCGATGATTGTTTATTTCATGAATTAATATTAATAAGCAGATGTGAGGGTGAACCAATCTGCCTACAGTAAATTAAAGCATTTTAATATGCCTGTTATTTTCCTTCCTCACTTAGCTGCAAGTTTAATGAATCCAACCATAACTCACCAGTACACCCCGAAAGAGAAATTAAGGAACCTGATCCTTGGTGTGATCCATTATCTTCTGTGAGTAGATGTGGCTCCAGCTTTCTACACCACTGTATCTTCACAGCACCCTGTAAAGTTCTTCCATGGATCTCTTGGATGCAAACAGAGTTGTACATCTTTAAAGCCTGATTTATTTTTAATTTTAAATCACTGTTATTGACTGTTGTATTTTTCATTGTGTTTGAATGTATAGGCAGTGCCATGGCTCAGTGGATAGCACTGCACTCTCGCACTGCACTCTCGCACTTCTAGGTTTGAGTTTACCTTGCTTTGCCCAGTAGCTCCTCTTTGTGTGATGCAGGTTTCCTCTAGGTACTCCAGTCTCTTCCCACAGTCCATGTGGCTAGGCTAAGTCGTGTTTTTATATTGCCCATGAGTGTGTGTCTATCTGTGTGTCTGGTCATATATATAATACATTGTGAGGACCAAATGTCCCTACAACGTGATAAAAACCTGTTATTTTGACCATGTGGGGACATTTTTGGTCTCCACAAGGGGAAACTCAATTTTATAAAAAAATCTGTGACTGCAATGAAATTCCAAAAGAAAGTCTTGTATTAAGGTTAAGGTTAGGGCTGGGTTAGGGTTAGGGTTAGGG